ACTCCCGTTGAGTAAAATGACTTTAGGTGCTGCAGAGTCCAAGTGCACTCTCCATTTATCCCTGTATTAATCACCTAATGAACCTCACCGTCATGAACCTGCCCATAATTACAGGTTTCCAGATTTCACAGTCCTCCCCCTATGGGACTTGGTTGGTTTAGGGTCTGCTTGGAAGATGCTTGGGTGTGGATTCATTTTATGTGTGGAGATACCGGTGCACAGTGATCAACACACAGCCTTCATAGAACGAGGTTCTAATCCAATGGCATGGATACCCTGATGATTGGTGGCCTCTTACCTGTTGCAGCCTTCGTCCACCTTCACGGCTATTCACTCAGTGGCCACCAGAATGTCTGCTGGTGATAGTGGGAGAGACTCCCATCAGCTACTGGAGAGGACACAATGGTGCGATGTCTTGCTGGATGACTCCCTTCCACCCTATGGCCACCGGAATGTCAGTTTGTGATACTGGGAAGGACATTTAAATTCTACTGCAGATGACACAATGGGGCTTTGTTTTGCTGGATGGCTGCCTCCCACCCTGTGGCCACTGGAGTGTCATTGGTGGAAGTGGGAGGGACCCTCAACAGCTGAACCAGAGGACGATGGCTGCCTACCATCGAATGACCAGTGACATTGGTGAAAGTGGGAAGAAAGTGGGAACATATCCTGCAGAGGACAATATGGTGCTGTATCTTGCAAGATGGCTGGTTTCAACCCACTCAAGAAACCTCTAGTTCAGTCCATGTGATGGAGGCAACTGCACTCCCCATTGTCTGCGGTGGAGGCTTTATGGCACTCCCAGGTCACTCCCCATGCACTGTCTGTGGTGGAATGTGAGTTGCTCAAGACAACTGTTTATTAAGACTATTTGCACATGGATTTTCTGCATCATCCTTTGGGTTGAGGGAGTGTGACTCAAGTCAAGAGGGTGTGTCTTGCTCAAGACAACACCGCAATCAGAAACTGGGGACCATGAGGAACTGGAAATGTGTCCCACTAAGCTGCTCTATCCCATGGAGGGGAAAAAACCAGCCTTGGTGCCTGAGGAGAAAGGCAGCCCATTTCAGACCCAAATAAAAAGAAAGTGGAAGCAACGGAGGTGCTGTTAAAAGACAAAATGGTCCGACAAAGCACTCTTCAGTGTTTTTTGATTTTGGGTGCACTAGTTTCCAACATTGTGGGTCAACCCCCCTCCAATCCCACCATTCTTTTCTGTTGATCATGTTGGCCATGTGTCAAGTTTGGTCCAGATCCACTGTCATTTGGGTTCACAGTGTTCTTTGACTGTGGGTGTACTACAATTCCCAAAATGGTGGCTCATTTCCCCCCAAACTCTCAGTATCCGAAGTTGGTCATGTTGGAGTGGGGGAGATGCCAAGCTTAGGTCAAATTCAGCCAATGATGGATCTGGACCAAACTTGGCACACATACCCAACATGGCCAACGTTGACTGACTCATGATCTGCCTAATTCATATTCAACCTGGCAAAGAACCCAGTGTTACCTGCCCATTTACTAAGCTGACTGGGGCTGATCTGTCCAGCAGTTGGATGGACAACGTCTTCTCAGTGACCTTCAAGGGTGAACCTCAGAGACGGTGAAGACTTTTGGACTCCTCCCCTCCTAGAGAGATTCGTATCTAAATCCACACATGTGATTGTAAGATGTATTAATAATTTTTATTCCAAGGAACAGAAATACAAGAGTGAAAACATAAACAGGTATAGAAAAAAGTTACATTGAGCAAGAATGTGTATCCCCACAAACATAAAACAAAAAGAACTGTGCAACAACTAACAGAACTCAGTCTGAAACAATCAGTCTGCAACCCTATACGACTATATCAGAAATCTGACACTTGTTCCCATCTTTCCTGCAAAAAAATGACCGAGTCCCAATGTTTCCTAAAACTAGTCAAGGATTTCTCCTGCATCAACATGGTTAGTTAATCCATCTCAGCTAATCTGCACATCTTTGTTACCCAGTCCTTTTGAATCAGGATAGCTGGTTCTAGCCATCTCTGGGCATAGATGATCCTCGCTGCAGACATTATGTACAATAACAGTCTTTGTATTTCCTCTCTAATAGATCATCCAGCATCCCAGCAAGGAAAGCTCTAATTTCATCATCATTTTGATCGTGAATTTCTTTTTCTAACATCATACATACATCATACATACTTGCATTTATGTGGTTTTTCTCATGTGGGCCTTATGATGGGCATGTAAACGGTCACTTTTGCTGAAGGCCTTTCCACATTCCATGCATTTATATGGCTTTTCCCCTGTGTGGGTCGTATGATGAGATCGCAAATGTCCTCTGTCCCTGAAACACTTTCCACATTCCAGGCATTGATATGGTTTCTCTCCTGTGTGGATTCTTTGATGGGAATGTAGACTTCCACTGCAACTGAAGCTCTTTCCACACTCCATGCATTCATAAGGTTTCTCCCCAGTGTGGGTTCTTTGATGCGACCGCAAACTGCTACTAGTAGAGAAACTCATCCCGCATTCCTTGCATTCATGCGGTTTCTCCCCTGTGTGAGTTCTTTGATGTATATGTAGATTTCCACTGCAACTGAAACTCTTTCCACATTCCACACATTCATATGGTTTCTCCCTTGTGTGGGTCCTTAGATGTTTATTACATGAGCCTTTATCACGGAAGCTCATTCCACATACTGTGCATTCATATGGTCTCTCCCCTGTGTGTGTCCTTTCATGGACACGTAGATTTGCCATCTGACTGAAGCTCTTTCCACATTCCGTGCATTTATAGGGTTTGTCTCCAGAATGCGTTCTTTCATGTACGCGCAGATGATCAGTTCTACTGAAGCCCTTTCCACACACTATGCATTTGTATGGTTTCTCTCCTCTGTGTGTTTTTTGATGTGTCAGCAGATTTGAACGGCACCTGAAGGTTTTATCACATTCTATGCATTTGTAGGGCTTCTCGCCTGAGTGAATCCTTTGATGTTGATTATATCCTCCTCTATCACTGAAGCCCTTTCCACATTCCATGCATTCATAGGGTTTCTCTTCTGTGTGGGTTCTTTGGTGCAAACGTAGACTTCCACCAGTACTGAAGCTCCTTCCACATTCCATGCATTTGTATGGCTTCTCTCCTGTGTGTGTTCTTTGATGTATAAGTAGACTTCCGCTCTGACTGAAGCCCTTTCCACATTCCATGCATTCATAGGGTTTCTCTCCTGTGTGGGTTCTTTGATGGGAACGTAGAGTCTCATTGCAATTGAAGCTCCTTCCACATTCCATGCATTCATATGGCTTCTCTCCTGTGTGTGTCCTTTGATGTTTAAGTACATTTCCGTTCTGACTGAAGCCCTTTCCACATTCCATGCATTCGTATGGTTTCTCCCCTGTGTGTGTTCTTTGATGTGTACAAAGTTGTGTACGGTCACCAAAGCTCTTTCCACATTCTATACATTTATATGGTTTTTCTCCTGTGTGAGCCTTTAGATGTTTCTTATATGATCCACCATCGCTGAAGCTCTTTCCGCATTCCATGCATTTGTATGGCTTCTCTCCTGTGTGTATTCTTTGATGTACACGTAGACTTGCTTTCTGGCTGAAGCCCTTTCCACATTCCATGCATTTATATGGTTTCTCCCCTGTTTTCGTTCTCTTTTGCTTTCCAGACACCTGTTTTTCCGCACCAGGCTTTGTTACAGCTGGCTTCTTGTGTTTCTTCTGCTGATTTCTTTTTTGAGAAAGAAGAAAACAATCCTTTAGACAAAATGACAGAAATCAGAGACCAAATAAGAGACTTATCCCCTAGAGTCTTGTTAATCTGTTTAACATGCCAACATACTGAAATCTAGGATCAATATGCTCCTCTCAGCCGCTAACATCAATAGCATTGCCTGTCTAATTCTAAGAGAAGCAGATCCATGTCCTTCTCTCTTCTGGTGACATAGCAATGCTTTCCATTTGCATTTGAGAAGTGAAGCAAGGATAGCTGGAGAAGAGCAAAACTCCTTCCTGAATAGGAATCCTCCCTCAGAAAGAGCCCCTGCTCCAATGCAAATACAGTTAGTTCTTGGTACTGAGTTTCTCCACATCGCCATGAGCTAACTGCGCACTCTTTCTTAAAAACGCCATTCCTGGCGTATCGACGGAATTTTGTTTTTTAAACGGCACTCTCATAAAGCCTGAGATAGAGCCATTGAGTCTATGAAATTAGCCCTTGCTTCTCGTTTGTGGGCTCCTGGCTTCTGAATGAGTGTTGCCCACTTTTCTCCTCTGTCTCATGAGGACCACATCCTGTCCTTCTGTGTTCCAACTGGAATCCTCCACCCTGAGTCCTGGGTCTGGCATTAGGAAACCTCTTTTCTGGAGAGTTAGAAGTTTTTCCCCTTCTGAGTTCTCTCTTTTCCTCTAGTCTTCTCTTTTAATTGGGATTCCCTTACTCTAAAGCTGGGGTCCTCAAACTTTTTTTAAACAGGGGGCCAGATTACTGTCCCTCAGACCGTTGGAGGGCCAGACTATATTTTTTTTTAAATGACCAAATTCCTATGCACACTGCACATGTCTTATTTTGTTACTGTTATGAATCATAATGTAAATATCTGATATGCATGATGTATTTTTATTGTTACAATATGAACCTAAAGCATAGTGGTGAATCACAAAAACAATATGTAATTATATATTGTGAAATATGTATTTCTAATTACAAATAAATGAAATTTTGATTTCAAGCATGTCACAGCGTGGGTAACCATCTTAATATGACAGCAGGGAACCCATGAATATGTTTACTGATCAGCCTATCAGACGGACTCCCATCACCAACAGAAAATACTGGAGAGGCTTGGGGAAAATAGACTTTGGCATTTGGGAGTTGCTGGGATGAACAGTTCCCCTGCCAAGCAAGAGCATTCTGAACTCCAACAATGAAATTGAACCAAACTCAACTTACAGTGAAAACAAACATACATAATTTGTTTGTAACTTGGGTACAAGTTGGGTCACAGGGGTAACAGATACTACTGTACAGAAGAATAATACCTGGAAAAGTCAATGAAAGATTAAATGTCTCTGATCTTGAATGCTAAGCAGGGCCAGTTCTGGTTAGTATTTGGATGGGAAGCCACAAATGAATAGCAGGTGCTATATTTCAGAGAAAGAAACTGACAAAACTATTTTTGAGTATTTCCTCTCAAAGAAAACCTTATTAAATTTATGGGGGCGCCATAAGTAAAAGGAGACCTGAAGGCACATACATTCACACACACCCAACCATGGGATGCTGAAAGCAATATAAAATATTTCTAATGAAAATGAGGGGGAAAAAAATCTATTTTCTGTCTTTTTAAAAGTGGTTTTTGGAATATGTATGCATGAGTCCCCTTTCAGGGGGAGAAGGGCGGGGTATAAATATAGGAAATAAATAAGTAAATAATATTTCATTTCAAAGTTTTAAAGCTCTTTGCACGAGGCCAAGCCGCACGGTGCAACTTACCTGCCTCATGCTGCCCCTCGTGCGAGCCAGATGCTGTCCCTGAGGTGCATGCAGCAATTAAAGTGGCGAGGGATTCATGCGAGAACAGGCCGCGCGGGTCACATGAGAGGCAGTGCGAGGCAGGTAACTTCCACCGCGTGGCCTGGCCTCGAGCAAAGTCTGTGATTGGCGGAGGCAGCACCGGGTGGCCGTGGCCAGGCAATGCCGGCTTCCCTGGCCCGGAGGCCCCACCCCTTTTTACTACAGGCGCCTGGAGCCGGGCCGTTGCGGCACATGGGTGGAAGAAGCCTGGCCCGGCGCAACCTCACCCGAAGCCGTTCCGGAGGGGGAGAGAAACGCTGCCAACGCAAGCGCTGAGGGGCTTTGTGCGAGGCCAGCCCAGGCGGGCCGGATAAATGCCCTCGGCGGGCTGCTATGTTAATAATATAATATAATGTAATATAATATATTGTATATACATATAATATTTATAATATTATAATGTAATGCAGTATAATACTAATATTATATTATAATTATATATTGATATTACATGTAATATTACTAATAATATTACAATATAATGGTATAATACAATATAGTAATATTTAATACTGATATCGTACTATGCTAATAATAGAATATAATGTATGTATGTATGTGTGTGTGTGTGTGTGTGTGTGTGTGTGTGTATATATATTCAGCCGCTCTGTGTCCCCTTGGGGGTGGGAAGGGCAGCATATAAATGTCGTAAATAAATAAATATGGAATTTCCAGCTCTGGGTGGCCCAAGGATAGATTGCGAGGAGCAGTGGGAGGCTCTGCACAGCCCTGTTCCACACTGAGATGCTTCAGTATCTACTCCCTGTTTAGGAATGAGATTCAAATGCTTAGTTTGACCAGCATCTCTCCATGGGTCAGACCCCAGGGTCTGAAAAGGAAGAGAGGGAGGGACCACATTCACAACCAATTACTGTGGATGAACTGTGCAAGATTCACACCTGGCAAAACAGTAGCTTTACACTGAGCAGTTTCCCACAAGCTCAGGTCTGGCACAGTTTGGGCAAAGGCACATGACCTGCATTCAACTGGCATCCCAAGAGAGATGTGATCAACCCATTTTTTAAAGCTAGGAAAACCTTACCTGGGTGCCATGTTCTCACCAGTCTCCACTGTATCTTCTACACACCAAGCCCACCAGGGCACTCCACTCCTTCTCAGAGAGCCACACAACAGCCTCCTCAAGGGCTGGCAGAGGCTAAAAGGAGAAAGAGGAGATGGAAAACAACACTCAAATTAAAAGCCCGCTGACCTCACAAGTGGTGAAGAGCAAGCAAAGGTGGAATGAAAGTCCAAGATATTTGTGGTGAACGGACTGACAAGAATAATAGGTTGCTTACCTGTAACTGTCTTTCCTTGTGTGGTCATCTGTGAATTCACACCACTGGGTATTCTGCATTTGCACCGAGCCTCTTTGGAATGATTTTAGTATGAACCCAATCTACTCTCTCAAGGGCAAAAAAGGAGGCGGTTACCAGCTGTACGCAATGTGACCAAGGATGGTATGACACTAGTGGGGAGAATGGGTGGGTTGGGTGAATACTCAGATGACCACTCAAAGAAATATAATTTCAGGTAAGCAACTTGTCCTTCTTCTTCTTCTTAGTGCCTGTGAATCACACAAGCTATAATGAGAGGTGATGGGAGCCATAACACACTACACCCTTGAATAAAAAACTAGAAATTTTAATGACATGTCACCAAGTAAGACATGAGAATGTTAGCCATACGTGAAGAATAAACTTTAGCAAATTCTCAGAGGAATACAGAGTGGCACCAAATGTTCAGTGTAACAGATATGACCTGAAAACATTGGCCATGCATGAACTTTAGCAAATTCACAGCAAAATTATAGTGTAACGTGAATCTAGTCATTTGGAGAAAAACAAAAATTAAAATCAACTATCCTGTCAAAAGAAGTATATGCCTAATACAAAATGAAACATAGCCAAACCATTCAATACTGTGCAGGAAAAACACAATTTTGGCAAGATTATGTAGCCAGAAAAGATGTGTTAGATTCGAGTAAATAAGTACAAGGCCATAGCATCCCAAGGGTCTATATCCTGGTCTTCAAAGAACTTTACATAACATCTCCATTTGTGGAATGGTCCAAAAAGGTTTGTTCTTGTAACTTGGCTTGAGTTGGAGAGTGTTGGTATCAAAAACACCCTGGGAGTCATGGCCAAGCCAAAGGCAGGCACATGGAAGAGAAAAGCTCAGCTGCCTACACAAAAATGAGGAAACATTAATACTATGGTTGAACTGCAATGTGGAACTAAGCATCTTTTAAGTCAATTGTGACAAACCAATCTCCTCAATTAAACAAAGGAAGGATGGAAAACAGTCACTATCCAGAAGTGACGAACAGTGATGAAAATCTTCCCAATTCTGAGATCCGGCATCGGATGAAGAACAACATCTTTCTTCAGAACCAGAAAGTATAGTGGAAAAAAACAACCAGGTGCCAAATTGTGCCAAATTCACGGGGTACCACTACAACACAAGATACAACACAACAAACGAGTTAAATGTGAGCTAGGCAATGCTACTGTTAGGTGGATCTGTAATTGGTTAAGTGACCAAACCAAAAAGGTGCTTCTTCCTCTGCATCCTGGGAAGAAGTGACTAGTGGAGTGCCATAGGGTTTGCTCCTGGGCCAAGTACTGTTCAACATGAAACATAGCCAAATCATTCAATATTCTGCAGGAAAAACATAATTTTGGCAAGATTATTTAGCCATCCATCCAAAATACACAACTATAATATCATACCATTAACATTACCGGTATTAGAAGAAAACATCAGAATCAAGACAGTAAATAAGGAGCACCACTCAGAAACAGGGGAACCTTAGGAAGCAAGCAATGAAGGACCAGTGAACACCTCCCAAACAGAGGGTGCCTCCAGGCAACAAAGGCCAGGCCACCTCTATGCAGAGACCCTCACTGACTGACTTTGCAAGCTTCATGGCTACTCAATGCTATTCAAGATGGCTCATTGCTACATCCACAATTGCTTCAAACAGACAAGGGTCCTTCTTTTCCCCATCCTGGACATTATTCCACAGGGATGGATGGATAGATGGATGGATGGATAGATAGATAGATAGATAGATATCTGGATGCTCTGTTCATTTTGAGTGACATCATAACCCAAAATCCGCTTGATGAATTGTTGCCAAATTTGGCCACAAGGTACCTACTAACCCAAGGAGTGACCATCACTCAAAAATGATTTTATTTGGGAGTTGTAGTTTCTGGGATTACTAGTTAACCTACAATCAAAGAGCATTCTGACCTCCACCAGCGATGGAACTGAACTAAATTTGGCCCACAGGACTCCCATAAACAACAGAAAACACTAGATGAGTTTGGTGGGCATGACCTTGAGTTTGGGAGTTGTAGTTCACCTACATCCAGAGAGCACTGTGGACTCAACAATGAAATGGATCTGGACCAAACTTGGCACAAATATTCCATTTGCCCAAATACACAGATGGAGTTTGGGGAAAATAGAATCTTGACATTTGGGAGTTGTAGTTGCTGGGATTTGTAGTTTACCTACAATCACAGAGCATTCTGAACCCCACCAACGATGGAATTGGGCCAAACCTCCCACATAGAACCACCTTGACCAACAGAAATTACTGTGTTTTCTGTTGGTCTTTGGCGACCCCTCTCACACACACCCCACAAACCCCCTCAGGGGTCCCAACTCCCAGGTTGAAAAATGCTGCCTTAAGGCTATCCAGTCCAACTCCTTTCTCCAGGGCAAGAAAACATAACCAAAGCCCTCATGACAAAGAGCCAATCAGCCACAGATATAGATAGATTTAGGAGAGTAGCCATATTATCATACACAGTTGCTCCCCCTCAATGGTTTCTGTCCCCAGAGTATATTTCCCCACCTGTATGAAGGTCTATATTTATCACCCTGTTCCTTTATGAGTTTCTCCCCCACAAACAATCTGCTCAATCCCTATCTCATCCTGATTTTAGTATTTTTTAGTATCTTAGTTTTTATCTTGCACATGCGGCCCGCTCATTGTTATGTTATTTTAATCATTTTAAAGAGAGTAAAATGATCAAGGGTCTGGAGAACAAGCCCTATGAGGAGCGGCTTAAGGAGCTGGGCATGTTTAGCTTGAAGAAGAGAAGGCTGAGAGGAGATATGATAGCCATGTATAAATATGTGAGAGGAAGTCACAGGGAGGAGGGAGCAAGCTTGTTTTCTGCTTCCCTGGAGACTAGGACATGGAACAATGGCTTCAAACTACAAGAAAGGAGATTCCATCTGAACATGAGGAAGAATTTCCTGACTGTGAGAGCCGTTCAGTAGTGGAACTCTCTGCCCCGGAATGTGGTGGAGGCTCTTTGAGGTCTCTTCCAACTCTATGATTCTATCTATGATACTATATCTGTCATATATGTGTGTGTGTGTGTGTGTGTGCGCGCGTGTGAATCATATCTGTCTATAATAATAACTAGCCAGCCCTTGCCACATGTTGCTGTGGCCCATATGGGGGTTCTGTGTGGGAGGTTTGGCCCAATTCTATCATTGATGGGGTTCAGAATGCTCTGTGATTGTAAGTGAACTATAAACCCCAGCAACTGCAACTCCCAAATGTCAAGATTCTATTTTCCCCAAACTCCACCAGTGTTCACATTTGGGCATATTGAGTATTTGTGTAGAGTTTGGCCCAGATCCATCATTGTTTGAGTCCGGATGTAGGTGAACCAAACCAAAGGACCCTGCCCACCAAACCCTTCCAGTATTTTCTGTTGGTCATGGGAGAACTGTTTGCCAAGTTTGGTTCAATTGAATCGTTGGTGGGAATCAGAATGCTCTTTGATTGTGGGTGAACTATAAATCCCAGTAACTACAACTCCCAAATGTCAAGGTCAATTTCCCCCAAACTCCATCTGTGTTTATATTTACATCTGTGTATTGAGTACTTGTGCCAAGTTTGGTCCAGATCTATCATTGTTTGAGTCCACAGTGCTCTCTGGATGTAGGTGAACTACAACTCCAAAACTCAAGGTCAAGTCCCAAATGCTTCTAGTATTTTTTGTTGGTCATGGGAGGCCTGTGTGCCAAGTTTGGTTCAATTCCATCGTTGGTGGAGTTCAGAATGAATGCTCTTTGATTGTAGGTGAACTATAAATCCCAGCAACTACAACTCCCAAATGACAAAATCATAATTTTTTGAGTGATGGTCACTCCTTGTGTAGTGAGACGTTTTCGTTGCCAAATTTGGTGTGATTTCGTTCATTGGTTCTTTTGTTTTTAAGGTACTCATTATGCACAGAGCATTTTTATATAGATAGATAGATAGATAGATAATATCATAGATTTGAAAGGGGCCCCTAAAGAAGGACAATGATATGCAGGTTCCAGAGTAGGCAAACCAGACACTCTCCACATCAACACTGACAAAGAAACAACAAGAAATACTGTTTACCCACAAACAGAAAGACATTACATATATTAGAAACCAACACTTTCTCATTACTTTATTTTCCAGATCACCAGACTGGGCCACAGCAACGCCTGGCAGGGGACGGCTAGCACTTTCCCCTTGCCTCACTGCCAACAGAACTTCTGAGCTTGCCAGGCACAGGTGCAGGCGAAACGTCAGCAGGGAATGCTGCTGGAACATGTCCAGTGACACTGTGACGCTGTTTTGGGAAGCCATGGCTCGAGGTTGAAAGGAGAAGGCCTAGCTGGGCCCCCTCCCTCCCCCCCCGGCATCCCATAATAGACCCCCCCTCCCTCCTTCTTCTCCCTCAAAATACCTTCTTCCCCCATTCAGGGTAGGCCCAAGGCGCTCCCGCTCTCCCACACCGGAAATGGGCTCAGGGGAAATGACGTCCCCCGTCCCCGCCCCCTCATGAGCATCCCTCCCCTCTCTCTCCCTCTCAGGAGTCCTCAGTGTTTTGGACTCCATTTCCCAGGATCCTTGCCCGCCCTCCGAAGCAGCCGAGGCTTCTGGGAGTTGGAGTCCAAAGACAAGGACTGGCGGCCTCGTGTGGCCGGAAGAAGGAAATGCAGGCAGGAAGGAGGCGCAGCTTCTGACGTCACTTGAGGGAAGGAGGGAGGGAGGGGCCCTCTTGCTCTCTCTTGGCGGGAAGGAGAGGAGGGGGAGGGTCAAGAGAGGCAGGTGGAGGCAGGCACAGCACAGCTGAAGAGGAGAAGGAGCCCACAACAGGCTTTGGCCTACTCATTCTCCTCAGGAAGACACTGGCTTTGAACCCACTCACTCTAACAGGCTTTGGCCTACTCATTCTCCTCAGGAAGACACTGGCTTTGAACCCACTCACTCTAACAGGCTTTGGCCTACTCATTCTCCTCAGGAAGACACTGGCTTTGAACCCACTCACTCTAACAGGCTTCGGCCTACTCATTCTCCTCAGGATGACACTGGCTTTGAGCCCACTCACTCTGACAGGCTTCGGCCTACTCAT